CTCTCGCTCTCCCTCGTCTCTCGCTCTCTCTTTCTCTCTCTCTCTCTCTCTCTCTCTCTCCCGCTCGCCGCCTGCCCGGCTCTGGCTCTGTCTCTCCCTCTCTTTCCCTTCCCCAGAAGCGGCTGCTGCCGGCGGTGTGGAGCCGCGGGCAGGCGGAGGAGGGGGCGGGGGCGCTGGCCCCCCGGAAGGCCTGGAGGCGCAGGATCGGCCGCAGCCGCCAGCCGGCCCGGATCAAGCAGGTGGGGCGGCGGGTCAAGGGGAGCGGCCAGCAGCGCTGGGCTCGGGGCAGTGCCCCGCCGCAGGTAACTACCTCCCCCTGCCCCGCCCCCCTGGCGGCCCGCCCCCCCGCCCTGCCCTGCCCGCCCCCCCAGGCCCAGGCGCTTGACCCGGGGCAAAGACACTCGCGCTTCTCTCTTTCTTCCTCCGCTCCGCCTTTCCCGCTCGTCCTTCCGGCCCGGTTACCGCTCAGCCTGGGGGGAGGGGAGCCCAGGACGCCTGGGTTCTCTCCCGGCTCTGGGAGGGGAGTGGGGGCTGGTGGTTAGAGCAGGGGGGGCTGGGAGCCAGGACTCCTGGGTTCTCTCCCTGGCTTGCTCTGTGACTTTTTGGTCAAGACCTTCCCCCTCTGTGTGCTTGTCCCCATCAGTGACTTGGGGTGGTGACAGCGTGTGCGTGGGGGGCCGGGGAATGAGAGTTAATTTCACTTCTCCCCATAGGTTCTTGGATTCGGCTCACTCTGGAAGGGGAGTGGGGGCTAGTGGTTAGAGCTGGGGGGCTGGGAACCAGGACTCCTGGGTTCTCTCCCTGGCTCTGGGAGGGGAGTGGGGTCTGGTGGTTAGAGCACAGGGGTGGGGCTGGGAACCAGGACTCCTGGGTTCTCTCCCTGGCTCTGGGAGGGGAGTGGGGTCTGGTGGTTAGAGCGGGAGGAGGCTGGGAGCCAGGACTCCTGGGTTCTCCCTGCTCGGTGGTGGCTGTCTGGGGGGGCTCTGTGCTGCCCCCTGACGCTGTGCTCTGCCCCACAGGAGAAGGAGTGCCCGCCGGGTGGGGAGCTGCGGTTCCTGGCGGAGAAGGGGGTCGCCGAGGCGCCCGGGCAGCTGGTGCTGCTGAAGGATCGGCCGGGGAGGGAGTTCCGACTGCC